CACCGCTCAGCCGACGTTGTGGCCCGAACCCTGAGCCGGCCCCACCCCAACGTTGCCCTGCACGACTCCCAGAGGAGGCGGTCAGCATCGCTCAGCCGACCCGTACCCCCGTCCCCGTGCCCATCCAGACCCCCACCATTTGAGCACCCTAGTTGGGGCCAGTTGGGGATCTGCCCCTCGAAACCCGAGGGCAACGGCCCACAAGCCCAGCCAGGGGGGCAAATCGGCCAGTGGGGCCCAGGCCAGGCCCATGGGGATAGGGATCGGTTCAACTTGCAAGCAGTGCCGAAGCGTCCCGGCGTGCCTAATTACAGGCCTTAAGAGCCTTTTGTGGTCTGCACGAAGTTTCCGTAGAGCATTTCTGGCTGGCACTGTCTTGTTCTAGCACGTCGGGCTTCTGTTCTAAGAGCATTGTTTTTGTTCTTAGATCATTTTGGGGTTCTAAGAACATTTTGGGGTTCGAAGAACATGCCCTGGCAGGCCTATGCTTGAGCGGCCGGTCCCTGCTCAGTCGACGACGGGCCTTCTCAGGGGAGGGCCGGCAGCGGCGGCAGGTGGCCTCGGAGCCTCGGCCGAGCCCGCCACGAGCGGCGCGCCGAAGGATCTCCTCGGGCGCCCGCCGCTCTCAGGGGCAGCGCTGCGCAGGGGCAGGCGGGGCGCCCAGGGGCTCCCGCGGTGAGCCAGGGCTGGACCCGTACGGTGTTCTCGGCGTTCTCGTGGGCCGTTTTCGTTTCGACTTGGGTTTGCGGTGGAGGCGGGTTCGAGACAAAAACGTGTGGGTGACCGAGAGCAACACGGAAACGAAAAACACGGTTGGGGTTCAGCCCTGCTGTGAGCCAGGCTCAGGGGCAACGCGGTCGGATGTTTTCGCCGGCTCCCGGAGGCTCTCTAACGTCGGGATGTTCGCCTAACAGCTAGGTTTAAGTCGGGCCTGTCCCTCGACAGAAACAATATTCAAAGATAGTAAAAAAACAGTCAAGGGACGTTTTTTGCACTATTTCTGACTATTTGGGAGTTTGTTGTTGTTGTTGTTGTTGTTGTTGTTGTTGTTGTTGTTGTTGTTGTTGTTGTTGTTGTTGTTGTTGTTGTTGTTGTTGTTGTTGTTGTTGAACATTATTGATTCTAAAGAATAATTATTGTTGGGCCCCCTGGTGCGCGCCCCCCCTGCGCCGCCTAGGCCGCAGCTACATTTTCATCATTTTCGTGAGGAAGCCTCAGAAAAGAGGGTGTGTACAGGATCCGGTTGTTTTGTTGTAACCCGCTTTCCCTTGCAAAAAACAATAGAAAATGACATTTCTTGTTCTAATATAATCAAATTTCAAGAATCCCTTGCAAAAAATAAGGTATAGTGGACATTCGCGCGCGCAAGACGAAATCCTTCCAAAACCTTAGTGTTCGCAGCGATTTTAACATAAAAACATCAAAAAAACCAATGGTTTTTCAACAAAAAACTGTCAAAATCTCATCCCGCGTGCTCTTGCGGATTCGTAGGAAACCCAACACTTTTTAAACATTTCTGTCAAACGGGCTTTTGCGAGCAACTTTTTCGAACTTTTGCGACAACGGTTGCGCACCTGCCAGGGACATCATCCCTGTCAAATAATACCATGCGGGACACATTCGTTTTTTCTTCGCGCGCGCACGCCGAAATCTTCAAAAACCACAGGTGTCCAGTGTTGGAACAGGGGGAAAAGTCGTATACTAAGCTAGCGTCCAGAAAATGTTACCACAACAAGTCACTGTACCCATGCGCCAGTGTAGTAGCCCCGGTCGTCCGCAGGCCACGAAGTGAAGTGTCCGAACGTCATAGGGCGGGAAGCTGGGTGTGGGTGGTGGCGAAGAGTCGTGTGGATATTTGGTAGAGCTTGCACTGCCCCCCCACAAAGTGGGGGTATTGGCTGGCGTCGCATGAAAACCCTGGCACGGGTGAGAACACTGAGCGTTCGGGTAAAGTGATTGTTGTTGTTGTTGTTGTTGTTGTTGTTGTTGTTGTTGTTGTTGTTGTTGTTGTTGTTGTTGTTGTTGTTGTTGTTGTTGTTGTTGTTGTTGTTTCGGGTTTTTTTTTTTTTTTTTTCATTTTTCGTCCAATCTGAAGCTAGGCTCAGGGGGGGGGTGCATCGACCCCCAACCGCCCATTGAGCGCAGACGTGGGGCCCGATAGCCCACCTGGCCCAGGACCGTGCGGATTCGCTATCGGGGGCCCATCGCCGACCTGCCGGCGACGTACCACCGATTCACGCTCGATGCCTCCCCCCCCCGAGCTGCACCCCGCCCCCCCTCGACGCCGCCCCTCACGACGCGGCGGCGAGCCCAGGGGAGAAGGCAGAGGGGGGCGGGCCTTGTTGGAGGGGCTCAGAGGGCCTCGGGCTTCCTGGGAAGCCCTCCGAGCCTTCTCTCCGAAGACGCGCGCGGCTTCTCAGGATCACTGGGCGCGTTCCACGACTCGCAAGGTGCCTACTCGCAAACGTCCGAAACACCTGTCTGCCTCCATGTCAATGGTGATCGTTTTTTCATTCATTGTTTTGCCGATCGGCGCGGGCCCTCGCCCCCCCCCCTGGAGGAGATCTTGGCTGTTTTTGGCGCCTATTTCGGGCAGGTGGAGCCTCCCCCAGGGGCAGCACTCCTGCAAACATTCGCACTGAGCAGAGGTCTGGAGCCAGACCCCCCTCCCCCCCTTTCCGTCCAATGTCGAAACGCCGCATACAAAAAACGCCCACCTCCATGTCAATGGAATGGATCGTGGATCCCCCGCGGTGGATCCAGGCCATGTGCAAGCAGCACAGCTGCTCTGCGAGCAGTGGGGCGCGCTTGCCCACAGGGAGGTTTTTGGAGGGCCGAGCTCGCCGCGCGCGGCGCCGAGCGACCCCCTGGCGCCCGCCTCCTCTCGGGGACGCACCCGCCCCCCCCTTGGAGCTGCCGCCCCCCGCTCGCTCTCGCCGCGCTCCGCGCGGCGCCCGCCGCCGCCCCCTCCAGGGGCTGTGCCTGGAGAAGAACGTGCCCCTGATCGACGTGCCGGACAACAAGTCGCTCGGCGAGTGGGCGGGGCTCTGCCGCATCGACAAGGAGCGCCCGGTGCTGCCCCGCGCGGGCTCTGGGCGTCCGCCCGTCCAGCCAGGGCCTCTCTTCCCCAGCTCCCCGCTCCCCTCCCCTCCGCCCCCCGCTTCCAGCTTGGTGCCTCCGCCTGCCTGCTCCCTGCTCCCTGCTTCCTCCTCCAGTTCCCTCGCCACCCTGCTGCTGCTCCTCCTCCCTCCTCCTCCAGCGCCTCTCTGCAGTTACGCACTGTGAGTGCTGCTCTCCTCTCTCCCCTGACCTCGTCGGGAAGGCACTCGGCCCTCTCCGCGCAGGGCTTGTCGACACGCAGAAAGTTTCAAGCAGTTGTTTTTCAATTGGGTTTGGGCAATCCGATTGTTTCCCAGCTCCCTTCTTCTCCGATTGCGCAAAGCACGATTGGGTCCCCTTTGGAGTTCAAGGTCCGCGATGACACCCGTCCGTGGATAGAGAAAAGACAGCGCAATGGGAAGGGATGGGGTGGGAGGGGTGGGATGTCAGATCTGGCGCGAGCGCATCCAGCTTGCCTTTCTCCTCTCTCCTGTCTCTCCTCCTCCTCCTCCTCCTGCCCCTTCTCCTCCTCGTCCTCCTCCTCCTGCCCCCCCCTCCTCCTCATGCCCCCCTCCTCCTCATGCCCCCCTCCTCCTCCTCCTCCTCCTCCTCCTCCTCCTCCTCCTCCTCCTCTTCCTCCTCCTTATGCCGCCCTCCTCCTCATGCCCTCCTCCTCCTCCTCCTCCTCCTCCTCCTCGTCCTCGTCCTCGTCCTCTTACTCCTCCTCCTCCTCCTCCTGCCCCCCCTTCCCTGCCTTCCTCCCCCCGTGCGCTTTGCCGCGGCCCCCGTGTCCTGGGGAGAGCGGCCGCCGGCGAGGCGGCCCGACTCTGCGGCCGTGAGGCCGCGGCCGCTGCATGGGAAGTCGCGCTTCGTCGGCCCTCCTCCTCTCCCTCCTTATCTCCCTCCTGCCTCCTCCTCCTCCTTTCATCCTCCTCCTTCTCCTCCTCCTCCCCCCTCCCATTCCTCCCTTCTCCCTCATCCTCCTCCCTCCTCCCTTCCTCCTCCTCCCCTCCTCCCTCCTCCCTCCTCCTCCTCCCTCCTCCCTCTCTCTTTCTCGCCTCCGTCGCCGCTGTCGAGGCCGACGTGTGGGGAAGGCGGCGACGACGACGACGACGACGACGACGATGCCGCCGCCGCCGCCGCCGCCGCCGCCGACGACGACGACGACGACGACGAGACGACGACGACGACGACGACAACGACGACGATGACGCGGCGGCGGCGGCGCTGGCGGCGGCGGCGCTGGCGGCGGCGGCGGCGACGATTCGCCGCCTCCGTCGCCGCCGTCGAGGCCGACATGTTTTGCCATCGCTGCTGCCCTGAGATCCGGGCGTGGTAGCTTCTTTTCCCACCAGGCGCTCGCGAAAGGTTTCGGGCCCTGGAGCCATCATGGGTCGAAGCCGCTCGCAGAGTGCAGCAGCAAGATGTGGTCCAGAGCTTCGGTCGTGATTTTTCGTGATGTTGCACTTCCATCGCAGCGTCGGATCTCGAGGTCCGTCGTTGCTGCCCCCGTCGTTGCCGTCGAGGCCGGAGTGTTCCGCGCCGACTTCCTTGGGCTCTGCGTCGAAGCCGCACCAGCTGATGTGCTCGGCTGGTCGAGGGCAGAAGAGAGAGAGAGAGAGAGAGAGAGGGGAGGGCAATGGCCTAGAGCGGTGCAGGCAGGGAACTGGGGTGACGACGGCGGTGCGGGTGGGTGCGATTCTCGTTGCCCCCCCCGATCTGCTTTTCTGTCTTTGCCTCTTCGTCCTGCCGCATTTCTGCCCCCCTGTCTCTCTTTTTCTCCCTCCCTCCCCTCTCTCCCGCTCTCCCTCTCCCCCTCCCTTCCCTCCTCCGCCCGCCCCCCTCTTCCTCCCTCCTCCCTCCCCTCCTCCCTTCCGCCTCCCCTCCTCCCCTCCTCCTCTCTCCCCTCCTCCCCTCCCTCCCCTCCCTCCCCTCCTCCGCCTGCCCCCCTCGTCCTCCCCTCTCCTGCTGCCTCCGCTCCCGGACCGGGCGAGGACGGCCTCCCGCGGAAGGTGGTCGGCGCCAGCTGCGTGTGCGTCACTGAGTACGGGGAGGACTCCTACCCAGCGGCCGCCAGTTGCGGATGATGATGATGATGATGATGATGATGATGATGATGATGATGATGATGATGATGATTGATGGTTGATGATTGATGATTGATGATTGATGATTGATGATGATGATGATTGATGATTGATGTTTGATGATTGATGATGATGATTGATGATTGATGATTGGTGATTGATGATGATGATGCTCATGATTGATGATGATGATGATTGATGGTTGATGATTGATGATTGATGATGATGATGATGATGACGCTGATGATGATGATGATGATGATTGATGATGACGATGATGATTGATGATCGATGATTGATGATGATGAGGATTGATGATTGTTGATGATTGTGATGATGATGATGATTGATGATGATGATGGTGATGATGATTATGATGATGATGATGATGATGATGATGATTGATGATTGATGATGATGATGATTCATGATTGATGATTGATGATGATGATGATTACTATGATGATGCTGATTGATGATGATGATGATGGTGATGATGATGACTGATGATTGATGATGATGATGATTGATGATGATGATGATTGATGATGATGATGGTGATGATGATGGTGATGATGATGATGATTGATGATGATGATGATTATTGATGATGATGATGCCGATGATGATTGATGGTGATGATGATGATGATTGATGATGATGATGATTGATTATGATGATGATGATGACGATTATGATGATGATGATTGATGGTGATGATGATGATGATTGATGATGGTGATGATGATGATGGTTGATGATGATGATGATGTTGATGATGATGATGATTGATGATGATGATAATGGTGATTGGTGATGATGACGATGATGATGATGCTGATGATGATTGATGATGATGATGATGATTGATGGTTGATGATGAGGATGATGATGATTGATGATGATGATGATGATGATTGATGATGATGATTGATGATGATGATGATTGATGATGATGATGATGATTGATGATTATGATGATGATGATTGATGGTGAGGATGATGGTGATGATGATGATGATTGGTGATGATGATGATTGGTGATGATGATGATGATGATGATTGATGATTGTTGATTGATGATGATGCTGATGATTGATGATGGTGATGATTGATGATGATGATGGATGATGATGATGATGATGATTGATGGTGATGATGATGATGACGATGATGATGATGATGATTGATGATGATGATGATGATGATGGTGATGATGATGGTGATGATGCTGATGATGATGATGATGATTGGTGATGATGATGATGAATGATGATGTTGATGATGATGATGAATCTGATGATGATGATGGATGATGATGATGATTGATGATGATGATGATTGATGATGATGATGATGATTGATGGTGATGATGATGATGATGATGATTGATGATTGATGATGATGGTGAGGATGATGATGATAATGATGATGATGATGATTGATGATGATGATGATGATTGATGCTGATGATGATGATGATCGATGATGATGATGATGATGTTGGTGATTGATGATGATGATGATTGATTGATGATGATGATTGATGATGATGATGATTGATGGTGATGATGATGATTGATGATGATGATGATGGTTGATGGTGATGATGATGATTGATGATGGTGATGATTGATGATGATGATGATAATGATGATTGAGGATGATGAAGATGATGATGATGATGGATGATGATGATGATGATGATGATGGTGATGATGGTGAATGGTGATGATGATGATGATGAGGAGGAGGAGGAGGAGGAGGGGGAGAGGGGTAGGAGGTGGAGGAGAAGGAGGAGGAGGAAGTTGAGGAGGAGGAAAATGGGTCGCCAAAGCCCTCCCTCCAGGCCTCTGAAGGCTCTTGGTGCCGTCTTGGGTGGGGATGGTGCTGTGCCCTTGGCTCAGGGTGCACCCTCCGAGGCCAGGACTTCTTGGAACACCTCGGCTTCTGTGACGCGTCTGGCTTCCAATAGGCTCGCACATCACACCCTTCGGGTGCGGCCAAGAGGGGGGGTGATGACTAGGGGGGGGTGGATATCATGGCGGGGCCCATGATCTTTCTCCAGATGTCATGGCGCCTCTTCTCTTGCCAATGCGTCCCCAGTCCCTCTTCTGGGCCGCGCACGTGCCGCCGGCCATGATGGGCGCTTCCCCCCCTTGGGCGCCCCCGAACCCTGGGAGCGCCCGAGAGCGCCCGGGCAATCTGGCCAATAGGGGGGCCCTCGAGGACCTTGCAATCCTTCAGCCACTGCACAGCGGTGTGGAGGCACTCCGCGAGGTGCCTCAGGCACCGTGGCGGCCCGCGCGGGCCCGGCCCGGCGGTCGGCACCGGCAGGAGGGCCCGCCGGCGCCCGAGCCCACGGCGTGGCAGGAGTTGCGGCGTGCAGTCGACGAGCGCTGAGCCGCCTGCAGCGGTTCGGCACGCCTCTTCCTCCTTCTCCTCCTCCTCCTCCATTTTCTCCTCCGCCTCCTCCTCCTCCTCCTCCTCCTCCTTCTCCTCCTCCTCCTCCTCCTCCTCCTGCTCCTGCTCATCATCTTCCCCTTTCTCCAGCTGCTGCTGGTGCTGCTCCTCCTCCTCTTCCTCCCCGAAGCGGGCCACAGGTGGGCGGCCGGCCAGATGGACCCCAGTGGCCTAACGCACAGGGCTCCGTCGGGCGCCGATGCTGTGGCGGGTTGTGCCTCCCAGCTCTCCCGAGGGCCGATGGCCAGGAATCAAGAGTGATGGTGTGCAGGCGTCACAAGAGGAAGGTATGGGGAGCAAGAGCGGCGGGAGGAGAGGACGAACGACAAGCACAGCACGCAAAGATTGGGAGGGTACTGCACATGACATCGGCGTCACCCCAGCATTCTAGGACGGCGGGGGCGTTCGTTAAGGAACGTGCCCAGGGGGCTTCAGACCCTGGATGATGGTTCCTTATCTGATGAGGGCAGCGGTGATATCCATGGCCAATCCACGATTTGCTTTCCACTGGCTTCCAGACCCTGGATTCCTCATCGAAGGTTTCCTCATCCAATGCCATCACCTTACGCAGCATTTCGCAGTTGCGGATGAGAGTGAGGGTGCGGCGAGGACGTCGGCAGTCTGCGAGGCTCTGAA